CACTGAAAAATCTCTTATTGTCAGCCCAATCTATGTAACTCTAGGTCTACCGTAATCCCTCAACGAGATGGCCAAAGTCCAGTAGACAGAGAGTCTGGAATTCGATTTTTGTTACAGGATTCATTTGATTCAAACCAGTGGAAGAATCCGTAGAAACTCCATTTTTACGAATGCGACAGATGTTGGCTTTGGTTAACAATATGACTCCTAAAATATGACGCCTCAGAAACAATTATGAATGTTAATTTAAGGAGGGGAGTTGTTGATTGCGATGAGCAAGAGGGATAGGTCCCGAGAAGAGATAAGATTTCAGAAGCTGGGGATATGCTCAGAAGAAGTATGTTTGAAGATATCCTGCAATTGGGCTGCGGAAACAGGAAGGATAGAAGGGGGGGGGACGTTTTCAAGTTTGCTTTGCGAGTGAGAAAGTGGTCTGAAGCTAAGACATTATGCACCACAGAATTGGCGAGCAGGATTTGCAACAATTCGACTTAATTTTTAAAAATTTAAAAAAAACGAGTAAATCAAAAATTTTTGGCTTCCTCCATTTTGCATCGCTTATTGGTGTTCCCCGTTCATCTTTCACCAATTTACCCTTATAGAAACGATGTTGGGTAATAATTCTCATTCACAGAAATTGCCTCATCCATTACAGGGTGTGCCGAAATTTCCGCCACCATCTTACATTAAATGCTCAAAATATTCTCCGTTTACTTCACTACACTTGCTGAGTCCCTTTCGAACTATGGTCAGAAACTCGATCACCGAAACTTCACTCAAAGCTCGACTCAAAGCGACTTTGAGCTGTCCAACCTAAATCTGGTACAGGAGATACGGCTTTGAGCTCTTACAGGGGAACCCTTTGAAGTTAGATTCCAGGAGCGGGCTGAGTCTGAGATGTAAACACACCCTAGTTAAGGGCATCCCGAAACTGCTTTCGAATCCTTATCATGTGGGTGTGCCTCGGTGGCCCAGTGGATGGTGTGTTAAGGCGTCGGACTCTAATTTGTCTTTTTTGTCCCTGGTTCGAATCCTCTCGCTGGTAAAGCTTTTTTGCTTCATTATTAAGATATAATAATTGATATTAAATTGTTCTAAAGTCTTTACAAACATTTATTATATTTATACAAACATTCCTATATGGTAGGGCCACTACAAAAGAGCCATACTTGGGAACTTGGCAAAAATGCATTTACCCAATTTCATAGTGAAACTCTTCCGTTTTTATCCTTAAAAATCATTTTGAACAAATTCCAATATTTTTGAATATCATATTGTTCACAGGATTTAACTATGTGAAATTATAAAAATTTGCAACACTTTAGAAACCAGACGTAATTTTCGATTTCGAAAAAGGACAAAGACTTTGATTGTTTTCGGTTAACAACTGATGACTAAACGAATCGGGCATTCCTTTCCTTTCCCTTTATTTTCCGTGATAAGAAATCCAAATTTTGCTTGGCAACAAATTTCTGGTTTGATTTTGTCTTTTCTCATCAATTCTACTTATTTAGTAGCCTTTTCCTTTAATTTTCACTAGTTTTTCGAGAAAAATTCCATCATTTTGTAGACATCCAATCGTCCAGCAACCGAAATGGACGATCTCTCGAATTCTCAACCCGAAGCCGATTTGTGGGTTTTTCGCCAAATCTTTGCTTCTATCAAAAACATTTTTTAATTTAATTGAAAAGTTTATGGAAGAAATGAAAAAGGAGATGAGTCAATTGACAGCAAAAATGGCTCAAATCGAGGCGAATTGAATGGGTAAAATCTCGAAGTTGGAGGCTGTAAATGTAAATGTTTGTATGTCTTTTTCCAGGTAACTTTTCAACTTGTACCCGCCCAATTACGAAGAACAGAAAGTCAATCATAGACAAACAGTTTTATTACATTCTATTAATCTTTTTCTTTACAAGACTTTTGACTTTACAAGTTTGAAAATAAAAACTCAAACTAAGTAAGGAATTCTTTACATTTACCATCTGATAATGAGATCAGAAAGCAGATTATTAGCATAAAAAGGAAATCAAACGATACATCGGATAACTTAAAATGTTTTTATTTGTGATTTTGTCCGTGTTCGTTGCCGTTTCCCGATCGTTTGTGGGAGTAAAGAGGTGAGAACAAATAGTGCCAAAAATAGACATCCACTAGGCACAAATGATATGATTGATTCGACTTTTCAATAGAATTGCGAACAAAGTGGAGTGATTGAACTGAAATCGGAATTGGAGCAATGAAGCTATTTCAAAAATCCGTCCAACATTCAAACCGTTGGTTTGACACTGATCATTACTGAATACTGAAGGATCTGTCTGAGCTGAAGGATGACCAGGAAACAATCAAGAGAAATAATTTAATTTTTCACTGTGAAACTGATGTGCTTTGAAAACAAGAGAAAAACACGCTGGAAAACTAAGTCACAGATTATAAACTTTACTTTTACTCTTATTCAGCCAATAAGACTCTTACTATATGATCAAAAACCTTGTTTACTTAAGCCTTTACTTACTATTTACTGTTTACTTCACTTAAACATCAACTTCGCACCTGAATCAGCTCAAGAATAGAATCCAGGTTATTCAAATTATAACTATAGTGGCTAGTAGACAAAATTTTGAACACTTTCTATCGAAAAGTCTCTTCTTCATTTACACTCTCCATTTATAGCAATTTCACATTTGATCAACACCAGTTCCATCAAAACGCCTCTTTCCAAACCTTTCAACTCTTCTAGTTCTTCCATTTTTTGGTGTTGACCCAGAATATTACCATAAATCTTTCCTTTTTGTAAATCAATGCTTAAAAACACCTTTTATCACCACATTCTTAATCCATTCAGCTGTTTTTAACCGCTTTGACCCGATTTTGGAACAGAAATTTGAAAATTAATAGAACTTTCTGCAGAGTAGAGATAAGAAATTAACTTACATTTGCGGACAACAAAAGTTTTGGGCAACTATTTTGAGCAAGGAAGTTTTTTGAATCGATCTTTCAGTTTTTGAATGTTAAACCGTTTTAAACTGACAATTGCCTTGTAATGTCCGTCTGTTTCAAAAAGATTTATTCAAAACTTTTCTAAAAATGCCTTTTCTTTGGTAAAACGACTCTTTGACGGTCTCTTGCAAACAAAACGAGAAAAGCTTGGAGCATTTGAAGCCCACGTCCAAACTCGATAATTACATGACGGATCATTTGAAATCTAAAATAAAAAGTCGTCAATCAATAACAGTCGTTTGCAATTATCATTTAAAATCACACTTACAAGATAGTAATACATATCGCGATGAAGCGAACCAAATGTAAAATCAACAAGAGATCCATCAGTCCAAGTTCCAACACCAACTGTTCCATTCCCATAATAGCCGATCCAAGCCCATTGCCTAGCACATGAGCTATTGTCAGGAGTTGTGATCGGTATTTTCAATGCGTTTGCATATACAAGATCTAAAGATAACTTCAAATTTTGTACTAATTGTATGAGGATTCTACAGGGTGGCCGACGAAATTTGGCGCAGGGTTCTTGCCTCGTAGATGATGCCGGATTTATCAAAACCTATTGAACTCATACCCAAAGATGTAGCAAATTTTCTTTAGTTTCTGGAACTTATAACTATTTTACAAGAGTTCTCCTAGTTTTTGAGTTATGCCCTTTTCCGCGCCTTCCAAAAAAGACCTCCGCGCCGAAAGTGATATAGAGATTCACCCTAGAATATTGTATTGTACATCAAAACTGATCCCCGAAGATTAAAGCGGGTCACACCCGGAACTTACCAAACACAAAATTGTTTTCTTTTTCTGAATGAATCGAGACCAAATGGGAACCCATTCTTCTGCAATTAGCCTCAGCAGTTGTGAAGTTGTATAGTTGCCAATAAACGCCATCAGTGTAGGTGAAATTCTAGAACTAACACTGGTGATTCAAAAGAACGATACCTGCAAGAAATAGCAATAATCAGTCTCTTTGTTATATAGCCAGCCATCAGGACATTGAAAATCTGGAAGGCAACATGAATACAATTCCTGTTTTACTTTTACCTACCATCTCCATTGATTGAACAGAAAAATGGACGCGCAAATGAACATTCAGCTGCCAGCCAAGACCCACTTTGAGGATCCATTATGGTGCAAAGACTTGTATTGCTCGAGTTGTTTGGTTCATCTAAACGATAACTATTTAAACTTGATTAACATTTATATACAGAATCAATCAAAACTTTCAAATGAACTCACTGAGAGCCCAATTCTGATAAGTGAGCGGTGATCCATCAGCGTAAGTCCAAATGTTATTCATTTTCCTTTCCACTCCAATATACGGTGATAGATTGTTCAAAGATTCTTAAACTATTGAAATTTATGTTAATTTTATCGGATTACCTTGCTTTGTCATTGAGAATACATAAGTGTTTTCAAAAGTGTTCTGAATTTTCACTGGAACTCCGCCAAGAGATCGACAATAGAGACTGGCACCAAGGTAGAATTTGGCTGAATTGGGCATTTTTTTCTAGTTTTTGACTGATTTTTGGTTCAAAGCTTGTCTCTAATGGATTCAGTTGCTATTTTAACCGTTTTTGATTCAATTTTACGCCATTTCTTTTCAAAATTTTACTTTGATTAACCGCAAACATGCACACATCTTCATTCGGTATTTCGATGCTTCCTTCTGGACAATGATATGAATTCACAGCAGAGCAAAAGAAACCAAAAATAAATAAGAAAAGCAATCGATACATTGCTGACTTTTTGGTGAAAGAGTCGAGAATTGTTTAAGATTTTAAGATTTTTAGGATAAGACTAATGGGTATGAAAAGGCAAGAAAAACAACGTGACTTTTCGAGCGCTTATCAACTTCACGTTTATTTTGGTTTTTATCAAGTCAACAATCCTTGGGAAGGATTTATATATTCAGTCGAGTCTAAGCCTTCAATTTATTCCAAAAATAATCTTTGTTTGTCGGTTTTCAACTTTGATCACGTTTCTTTGGCTTTATCGTGGATTCATATCAATGTCCAGTAATTCTTTGATGGCATTTTACAGACAAATGGAGGACACTCGTTAACCGATCCACATCCGCAAGCCCATCGACGAGTATAGCTATCATTCGCGATTTAAATTCTTAAATCGATTACACAAACTTTTGCAACAAACTGGGTAAACCATGATTTCGATAGAGTGAACCAAGCATAATCTGCCGGAGATCCATCAGTCCAACCATCGTTCCCGACGCCAATCCAGGCAAACGGCAGAATTCCGACATCACAAACATTTGAAACTACAAGATCTATTGGGTCAATGAACACAGAGCCACGTTCGTTTTTGAAAGCTAAAAGTACTCGAGTGTACATCTGAGCTATCAATGTTTATCAATGTTTATCAATACTTATCAATAAACCCTTGCAATATTGGCATGAAGCGTTTTTGCTCCAAACGATAAAAATAACTTCATTACGAATATGTATTGGGTCAATGCAAATGAAATAGCTAAATGTTCAACAAAGCATTTATCAAATTAATCTAGAGTCGACTCTCTCTTTAACGGATATCTATATAGCGGAATGGAATTTTGGTCCTGGCCAACGCTAAGCTATATAACAGAAAAATTTTTTTGGTCCCTTCCATTCCGTTTTAGAGAGAGTCGGCTGTAAATACACTGCTCTACAAAATTATATAGACACTTACTTTTTTACCAATTTTATGCTCTTAAGCAACGATAGTGAAAAAAGTTGTTTTATCGTATTTTCCTTATTAGATTTGCCATTGAAACACGTTAGATATACTACCATAGTTTGGAATATAAATGTTTAAAAACCGAATTTTGTAAAAAATGACCTTTGGCGCTTTCCACATGATGATATGGACACTACATAAAATTTTTTATCTAGCAACAAAAAAATGATTTTAATAATTAATAGGGCCTCCATTGTTTCGAATCAATTCAAAAATTCGATTATCCATGCTGGCCACAAGTTTATTGATTAGATTTTGGTCTACTTTTCTCCAAGCATCAATTATGGCAGATTTCAGAGAAGGCACGTCTTTATAAGTCTTGTTTCCGGCGTAAATGTGACGTACCATGAATCCCCATACATTTCAGTTGCCTTCTCCGACAGCGGCGGTCCCCTTGGCATTTGTTCAGAGTACCTTAAAGAAATAATTTTTGAGCAAAAAGAGCTAAATTGTCTGAAAAAAAGCTGAGAAAAAGGCCGAAAAACAAAGTGTCCATATGATTATGTGGAAAGCCCCAAAGGTCATTTTTTACAAAATTCTATTTTTAAACGTTCATATTCCAAACTATGGTTGTATATCTAACCTGTTTCAATGGCAAATTTAATAAGGAAAATACGATAAAACAACTTGTTTCACTATCGTTTCTTAAGAGCATAAAATTAGTAAAAAAGTAAGTGTCCATATAATTTTGTGGAGCAGTGTATTTTCTTTTTAGGTGGTGGAGACGTCAATCGAAGAGACGGTCAACAAGCAATCACACGATGCTTTTGCCATTGCAATTTTGTGATCATCGAGATGATGAACAAAGATTAAACAAGAGCCTCGATGACGATAGAAGTGAAGACGGATGAGATAAGTAAGCTAGAGGGACGACCAAACGTGAAAATGATGCAAATGAAGCCGAGGATTTGACGAGTGCAAGAGGAGCGGCAGGCCTTTGACGTGAAATTCAAGCTCGAAGTGATTCAATACGCCAAGCTGAACTCCAATCAGGAAACTGCCAAATTCACTGCGGAAGATGGGTTCCTCATGAACTGACTCAAGGCAACAAAACAATTTGTGTCATCGTGAGCTCTACTCTGCTTCAAAAAGGCAAATCTCATGATTTTTGGGGAAGAATTCTCGCTTCTGATGAAACATGGATTCAATATGAGAATGTGAAGCGCAAAAATCAGTGGCTTTCTCTAGGTCAACCCCCACAACCAACTTGAAAACCCGATACTCATGGAAAGAAACTTATGCTTTGCTGTTGGTGGAATACAAAAGGTTTGGTGTATTATGAGTTGTTGATTCCCGAGAAACTGTCACCGCTGATCTTTATTCAAAACAGTTCATGAGAGTCAACGAGGCTTTAAAGAAATTGGGCGTTGAAATATCAAAAGTGCTATTTCTACATGATAATGCAAAAACTCACTCACCAAAAAAATCGACGAGCTTGGTTGGAAACTTCTACCCCACGCACCTTATAGTCCCGATTTGGCCCCATCAGATTATTTTTTGTTTCCGTTGTTGAAGAGTCTTCTGATGTGAGAAAAGCTCGAGAATCATGCACAGATCAAAAAAGAAGTCGACACTTATTTTGGTTCGAAAACTCCCCATTTTTTTGAGGGGATCAGGGACTTGCGACGAAGATGGGAACAAGACATCAATGATAATGAAGAATATTTCTTTGATTGATGTGCGTTTGTTGATGTTTTTAGCAATAAACAGTTTTGTGGCAAAAACCGACATTACTTTTTCCTCAACCTAATAGCTCGATTACTTGCGGAACTCATTTACTTTTTTTGGTTTGCGGTACCGCTCAATTGATTGATTTTAAAATGTGAAAAAGCCAAAATAGAATCAACTTTTTTAAATATTAGAAAAAAGAAACATTTCCCTTTAAAACTAGCCGCTTTACGGTCAGATTGGTTCAGAGTTCGCCATTTTTGCCGTCAAAGGGCCAGAATGTCAAAGAAGCCAGGTGGCAATTCTGGCAAAACGGATTTTCAAAACAAAAATCTTTTCACGAGGAAGCAGGTAAAAATAGGCAAAATTTCCAAATTTGAGGTCGATTTTACTCTAACTTCTTTGGTTCAGGCCGTACAAATGATTCTTAGAGAGGGGACAGAACTTTTCACCCTGTATTTCGAGAAAGTCACGATTTTGTGTTTGAAATTAAACTTGGACTTGAATTGAACTTGAATTCAACTTGAAGTAAGTGATAACTACCACGACTCATCTTTGAAAGTACTAGTATACAAAAGTATTTAAGTTAACAGTTATTCCTGCCCTTTGGGCCGTCAAAACTTTCACTTTGGCACTTTGGCATCGTCGCTTCATTCATTCTTCCCATTTCCTTGAATTCAAAACGAATTCACCAATTGGTCGGAATGGGTGTGATGGCCGTCGCCTTTGACAAGACCTCAAATTGATGGGATAGACAAATTGATGGGTATAGCTTGACGACGAGCCCTCGTCTCTACTGCTGAAATCTAAGATCATCGAAAATCCCTTTCTGACCTACTTTGACGAAGAAATTTGATGGCAAAGAAGGAGGACCGGGATGAATAGAAAAGGAAGATAAGAATCTAATAAATCAAATCTATCACCTTACATCTTTCGATTTTGCGATGTCACCAAGTCAAGAGCTTCGAAAAAAAGGGGTTCTCCGTTGTAAATGACGCTTTTTCCACTAAAAAACGATTTTTCAAAAAATCTGTTAGGAGAATTTGGAGAATTTTTCCTGGTTTGAAATGAGTACATTTTTCTGTGTAGAATGACACATCTTTCATCAAAATTCATCAAAAAACGCAAATTGCACCGATGTGTGTAAGACCTGAATCACTGTTTTGACGGCCGAAGGGCAGGAATAAACTTTCTGAAAGACCCGAAGGACTGGAATGAAAATGTTTGAAGGCCAGAAGGGCCTGAGTGTAACCGTGGACTTTTCTGAACTGTCTGAAAGGCCTAATGAGAGATTTGTACGGTCCAAAGGGCCGATCTATGTTTATTTTCCAACCCATTAGCGCAAATACTTTCACGGGTCCCCCAATTAGAAAGCGGGCAAAGCGAACGATCGTGAGCGAACAAAACCGGACGTGGAGCTAGCGAGATCACGACTCTCGGACTCTCCGAAGAGTCTCCGAATTGGAGACCAGTTTGGAAGCCGATTTGTGAGTGTTTGGAATGGCGTTAATTGGATGGAATCACCAGAGACGATAGAGACGGGGGATCCAAAAATCCCCAATTTTCCATAAATGAAATGAAGGACTTGCGTCGAAGATGGGAAGAAGTCAAAATGGAGAATACTTTATTGATTGATAGTTGCTATTTCTTGTAGAATGCAATCTATTGTTACACGCAAAAAACGCGCATTATTTTTTCCCTGATCTAATAGTTAATAAAACACTTCTCCTTAGGTCTTGAATAGTTTCTAGATTTGCATGGAAACTTGCCTCATGCTAAGGAATAGAAATATCATGGAAATTTTCAGGAAACGAATCACCCGAGACGATAGAGAGGTTTTTGTGGTAAGGTTTTTGACAGAGAAAGTCCAACATCTCACATGTTTAGGGAAAAAAGCCTTCAGACACTTTTAGAAATTGACTCTGTCTAGCCAGTCCATAACTTGCCATCGATTTGCCTTTGATTTTTGTTCCTGAAGTTCTCGAAAATTCGACTCACTGTTGGTTCTGTAAGGTGCCCGTTAGTGGTGTCAAACTGAAAGCAATCAAAATGGATTTCATTAGAAATTCCCCATTCATTTGCCTCGTGATGTTCTCGGCCACGTTTGTGAAGCATTACGTGTAGCTAAGCGGATTTATTTTTGTCAGATTAATTGAAATTATTGTTTTACGCGATAGATTTTGTGTTTCTCTTTGAAATGCGAAAGAAATCTATTTCCATTTGAGAGCCGAGTGGAGGACTTTTCGTAGCCGGACCACAATGAAGGCCAAAACTAATTGTAAGATGGTTTGGGGAATTGAATGGAAACAACGAAAGCAATAATCGTTGCCTGGACCGTTAAAAAACTGTTTAACATCAAGGCTTAAAGCCGCAATATTATTGAAAAGCAAAAATAAAGAATTTATGTGGGGATTTGGAAGCTTTCTAATGCGATTAATATTATTAAATTGAATAAAAGCAATAAAAAAGATTAATTAACACAAAAAACAGTCCGAGAAATGTCTAACGGATTTGGTGGTTAACCCAAAGCTACATGACTTCTTAAGGCGGGGATTTCCATGACTAGACAAAATGTTACAAGCCTCCAAAAAAGGAACACTTTTGGAGGCGTTCTAATTTTGACCGATACCCTAGCCCGGGCCTGTCCAAGACCCTGCCTCAAGTGATTATCGTCTATTCCGCTTGATGAGCAACGAACTGGTTGGGCAGCACTTCAATGCCGAAGATGACGTGAAAAAGTGGCTGACGGACTTTTTTGCTGGAAAATCGAAGGCCTTTATGAGAAGGGCATCGAGAACTGTAAAAAATGGGAAAAGATTATTGAAGATAATGGAAAATATTTACAGCCGACTCTCTCTAAAA